GAATTAAGTGTGAGAAAGAGAGACAGAAGAATAAGAGAGAGATTTGCTTGATTTAAGGAAAAGATTTGAGCGAATTAAATTTTGGAATATCAATTTTGAAAAATATAAATTTTGAGCAGTAAAAATATTTCAAAAGAGTTTATGTGGTACGTCGGATCAAAACGATCTGAGACGTCAATAGCTCGAAACAGTTTGGAATAACGTCGTCCGTTAGATGATACTTTTTTTGATCATAAAACGATATTGACCATTCTTTGTCTCTAAAATTCAAATTCGTTCTACTTTATTATATAGATTTATTTATTTGAGGTAAATAGTAACATTCAAACACAACAAATATTAACATTCGAAACAAAAATAGTAACATTAAATATTAACATTTGGGAAAAATAAAACAAAAGATAGTAACATTCAATATTAACAACAACATGCTTAAAAAAAAAAATAGTAACACACTTACAAAAAAAAGTAGTTACATAAATATAAGACCCCGTATTAAACTTAAAGAAGAATAATATTATATTAAGAGTTCTTCTAAAATGAATAAAAGGATGGTAAAACCTTAGAATCATAGTTGAAAGATTGACTATAAAATTTGAGTTTGGCGTATATTTACGTTGAGTTAAATGGAGTTTTAGAGATGCTTGAATTGAAAAGTATGGCCTAGTAATTTTGTAAATATTTTTAGGTTAAAATAAGGTTTTCATTGAATCTGGAAAGCCATGGAACTTTGGAAGAGGTAATATGGGGTGTATTAAAAGTTAGAAAGTATTCCAGAGTTAAAACCTATTTTGGAGAAAATTTGGGTAGAAAAGAATTTGACACTACCTTAGTATTTTGGTTATAAATTTTAACTCTAATTTCCAAAGGAGTTGAGTTTTAGATAGTAGAATCTAAACTTCAAGGTCTACAAAAGTGCATTTCACAAAAATTTTCTAAATTGGATCCTAAATAGGTCAAAATTAAGCTAGCAGTGAGGGGTATGTTGTCAAATGCGTTCGGACGGGAGAAACACACGTCCGGACGCACCGGGTAGAACTTGGATGATCTTTGTTGAGTGTTTTCTCAATTTTTAGCATTATAAATAGCTAGGGAATGACCCTTGGGCCTATGTTCAACGATTGTTCACCTGAGAAAATCGTAGAAATATTGAGAGGAAGAAAGAGAGAAAACACGGGGAGGATTCTCGCTTCGGGATTGATTCAAATATGCTAGGGTTATCTTCAATCATCATATTAAAGGTAGGAAATTCTTCTCAAGTTCTTTCATTGAGACTTAGGATATTATTTATATGTATGTTTTCAATCTTCTTGATAGTTATATGATAAATATTTATGAATTCTTGATTTTTTTATCAGTGAAATATAGTTTTGAACAAACTATATGTTTGGGTTCAAATAATATTTTTTCTTGAATTTCCAAAATCCTAGTTTTTCTAAAACATATATTCTATTATGAAATTCATATGGATTCTTGATTTCTAAATTCCTATTCATGATTAAATCATGTTCTCATCTAATACTTGTTCTTGTTCCAAGAAATATTGAGTTTTGGCAAAACCCTAGAATTTTGATATCAAAATTGTGAAGGTTTTCTTAATTTGATCTCTTGCATATTTTCATTCCTTTATTTCAATAGTATATTGAGAATTGTGCAATTGTAATACTTGAATTGTTAATGAAAATTATGATTGGTTAAGATTGTGATTATTGAGAAAGTTGTGGTTCCATCTCTTGTATGGTTTGAATGTGACGGACTTGAATTGCCTTCGAGAGCTGTCGTAAAGTGTTAGAGGTTAGTCTATCCTAGTGGCGCGTGAGATAGTTGCCTAATACTTGTAGTTGATTGTTGTTTATGAGAGCAACCACTATTGTTTACGTAAGTTCGAGGTTGATGGATGATATACCTTTTCTAAGAAGGATTCGTCAATGTCGTAGGAGATGATATACGCCTTTCCTAAAGTGATTTGTGATATGCCATGTGAGAAATGATTGAGATTGTTTGGTTTTATGGTAGGTGAACGAGGTAGAATTTTTATGTAGATTCCTAAGAAGCAACCAACATACATTAGAATATGAAATGATGCTACTGACTTATTTATTGATTACTTTAATTTCTTACAAGTTTGTTCCTGTCATTGATTTACTATATTTCATACACTTGAGATCATTACAATTGTCATGGTTTTACTCTCAAAAATTTAAAAATGCTATTTTTCAAAAAGGACTTGTCTTCTTTTTATTATTTTAAAACTTTGTTGGGATTTAAGAGGGATTTTCTACCGGCTTTTGCTCACCCCCTACAACACATTACAGATTTTGGTAGCTAAGAGGATGTCGAATTAGATGAGCAGGTTGGTCTCGAGAATGGAGAGGGTTAGTATGAGGATCCTGAAGTTAGAGGCTTAGAGATGCTTCGTCTTAGTCTAGATTATTTTATTTGAGAGACTTATATGAAACAATGTTTCAACTAATTTTGATTATTTCGTTACCAGATACTATTTGGTTTGAATTGTAAGTTGGAGAGGTTTTAATGTTTTATTGACTTTAGTATTCATTCTTTATTAGATGGATGAATGATTGATTGTTCTAATGGTTATTTTTAATTGCTCTCATGGTTAGATGATTTGTAGATAGTAATGTTTTTCAGGGTGAATTTTGGAACGTTTTAATAAAATATTGAACAGAATTACGGGTCAACTAATAACACATTGAGCAATTTTAAGCAATATAGACATTTGATGCATTCAAACCAAAAAAGTAACATTAAAAAAAGGGTAAATAGTAAATTATACCCCGAAAAGATCTTTTGAATTTCAATTTGTATTCTCAAAGATTAAAAATCTCAATTCATACCTTCAAAGACATAAATCTGTGTCAATGTGCACTTGAAGCTAATAGTTGTCAGTTTACCATCTAAAACTAAATGAGTAAATTATATTTAGACCCCTCAAATTTGTTAATTATTACACCGCCTCACATTTAGAATATTACACTTACACCTTATGATGTTTGTGCGAGCATAATACATAATCTCTTGTCATCAATATCTGTTAATGTAGCTGTTAAAAAAATTACATCATCCTAATAAATAACTATAATTTTTATACTACCTTTTATTTGGTGGGTCCATTGTATTCTAAAGTTTAAAACAAAGATTACCCTTTGAATGTCCAATACAATAGAGATATTATATAAAATTCAAGAGTACTGGTATTATATAATATTTTTTATATCCAATATATTACATCACTTGAATAGAATTATTTGGGTGCCCAATTGGTGGAACATCTTTATTCATATTTGGATTCTTAGGGGGTGTAGATGTAATATTTCAAATGTGAAAGAGTTTATGTGTAATTTATCCATTTAATTTTAGACGACAAATTGGACTGTTAGTTTTGGGTGCACATTGATTTAAATTTATATCTTTGAGCGTGTAAATTAAAATTTTTTATTTTTAAAGGTGCAAATTAAAATTCAAAAAAAATTTTAAAGTATAATTTATGATTAACCCAAAAAAAAAACTAAGAACCATCCAAAACAAAAAACAGTAACATTTAACTCAGCACACCGTCACTGCCCACTACACCCTAGAGGCGTGGAGTCCCGAGGAGAGAAGAGACCAGAATGACCATGAAAGAGAGGAATCACCATAGGCCGATGATGCTGTAATGGCTTTGATAACAAATGAAGATGACGAAGAGCTATCCACACCACCATCGACATCACCGACGAATCAAGAGTCTTGACGACGAGGAGCTTAAAAATGCTCAAGCATGGAGTCTTAACGACAACAAAGAGCTATCAACACCACCATCGACATCGCGGAAAATCAAGAGTCTCGACGAAGAAGACTTAAAAATGCCACGAAATAACATGAAATTTTATGGCCTTGCAAATCTTTTCAAGAAATTTTGAAGTGGGTGGAAAATCCATTGCCCCAACACCGTCCCTTGTGAGGAAAATCCAAAGAGACTGCAGAGCAGAAGCAAATAGATTTTTATCTTAACTAGTTAACTAGGCAAAAGCTAACCTCTATTGGATATGAGGAACTAGAAATAAACAAGTTGATATAAGAGCAAAACATCAGCTTCCTTCAGTCACCGATTTGTTGGCCTTGGCTATGGCCCTCTAGAATTTGGGAGAGATTAGTAGGTGTCGGGCAAAGCTCATTTTGGACTTGATAGTCAATGAGAATGTGTTTTACATTGCTGGCTATGTTCGAAAATGGATGCTCGGAAGTTCTCCACCGTTCGTGGCGTCGTGTTAGTGAACAGCTCCATCACGATTCGACTGCTCGGTTGACCGCCGATCGTCATGTGGAAGAACACAAATCTGCCAATTTGCTCACACAGATCAAGAGAGAGAGAAGAAGAAGATTCTTGAATTTGAATTTTAAATTTTACCAGAAGATCTTCATTCATTCAATCATTACTTATTTTTTTATTCAAATTTAAATTAACATTTGAATTAAAAGTTTGATTTGAATATAAATGATTCTAATGAACAAATTCAAATTTAAAGAATGAGAAAGTAAAATTTAAATGTGAGCAAACTCAAATTTTAAAGAGAGTAAATATGACCAATGTATCTTTAAAAGAGGGTAAAATTTTACAATTAAAAATTTTGGTAAAAATTTGAGTCTCCCTTGATTTGAGAAAGAAAAAAAGGTCTCTCTTGATTTAATATAAATTTTAGTTAAAAATTAGAGCAAGTTTTTTGAATTTTTTTACTTCAATTTAAATTTTACTCTAAATTTGAGGAAAGGTTAGAAAGACATAAGAGGAGTTAGTTGATACTTGATATTGTATAAATTTTGGCCTATTTCAATTGATTCATTATCAATTTCAAACTGTGCAATTAGGAACAGTTCAGTATATAAGCAAATTTTGGATGAATCTTAAATTATTTGCAACTGATTGTTTCTCGGAAAAATGAGCATGAAGAAACAGATAGATAGATTCTACAGACGAAAGAAAAATTTATATAAAATCTAGAATGTGTTTGGATGGAGGAGCAGGGAGTGATCGGATTGAGAGGGCAATATGGAGGGTGATTTTCTTGGGAAAATGGCGAGGTGTGATGATTTTCTTGGGAAAATTGAGGGGGAATAGGATAGGTGATCGAGGAGAACAAGAGAGTCAATCTTGAAATTATTTGTTATGGATAGAATCCACATTTATTGTAGTGTCAATTATAAGATTACCGTCTAAGTGCTCTCAAAGATTTTGGAAGTTTTGTCTCTCTAACTATTCTTGAAAAAAATTGTAATTTGTTTTCTTAAATTTTCATTCGTATATACATGATTGGATTTGTTTTATTGTAGCACATAGAGCTGTTTTTAGATGATTTGGTTAATGACTATGTATACTGGTGACAACATAGTTTGTAGCATAAATGAAACTTGTTTTGTGTATAATTTGGTTTGCAGGTAAAGAGCATGTTCCCTATGTTTGATTTGGGTAGTTAATTAGTAGCATAAAATATGCGTATTGAAATGGGTTTTTTGAATCTTTACTTTTGGATAAACTACTTCACATGTATTTGTAGTGCCACTGCATTTAACTTGGATAATTGGACGTCATTGTCTCTGGTTCTGTAGGAGTTACCTTGTAAAATATAAAACATTTAAATCCGATAATTTTGTTGATGGATATACTGTATTGCGAATATGTAAGAGTTTTGTTAGTTAATTTGCTACGGAAACTGTGTGATTTTGGAGCACCAGAGTACTTTGGTGGAACGCAAATATTGCCTACTTTTTCTATCTTTCTTTGGTATTTCGGTTTACATATCTTACTACCACTAAAAAAATTTATAGAACAAGACCGAAGACAAGCCTAGTGGCAAACAGTAAACATTGCACAGGCTAACAGGATAGGCCACACGAGCAAGCTAATTGATAGTAAAGACTCAAGTGTTATAAGGCAAACTAAGTCAGGCTTTAAGGAAGCAAATCATTGCAGTCCAAGGAGTTTTGAAGAAATTTCCTTAAACCTGATATGGAAACACTAGCAAGATCTGGGGTTTTGCATTGGTTGACTTGGTGCAAAATAATCAGGGATCAAAAGTGTGATGATTGCTTTTGTAGAATCATTTGGAGCCTAAGCAGTTTCTACAAGGGAGACTTATGGTCTAACCTATTTACTTTAGCAAGATTAAAATACTAAATAAAAAAAAATTGAAAATAATATTGCTTGAGGGATTACTGACAATTCAAGACTGCAATGAGAATATTGAATGAGAGAGAATATCCCAGAGATTACCCGCACCTCAAAGCACGTCAAATCAACCTTAACCAACTTCCTAATGTTCCCAATTGGGAAAGCGATTACTTTCAAAATTGCTTTGTCATTTTCAATTACTAAGATTGTTCCATGTTTAAGATAGTTTAATATTTTAATATTATTGCATTATATATTTGTCAATTTTTAGTAATTGATGATCTTTAATTGAAATAGGCACAAGTGACACAGTTTCGACCAAGCGAGGTCGAGGTCCAACTAAGGGTCCTAAAGAATGGGGAACTGGAGTGAGACTTCGGGTTGAGTTTGATTCTAAGTTTCAGCCAATAGGTAAGAATGCAAAATGGCTAAACTTAACGTTGGGAAATATAGTTCGCAATGGGCATAGAGTTCCTCTCACTTATATCGATTGGGCTTCAATACCTGTTGATATACTTGATACAATTTGGAAAGAAGTGGAGGCATAAATTTAACTTACCAAATTTTATTTTTCAAAAAAAAAAAAAAAAAGATGATGACCTTAATTATATGCTAATTTCTTGGCACATAATTTTAGGATAACTTGACATATGCTCCTTCTGGTTATAAACCAATCTTCTTGAAGGCATGTGGTAAGAATTGGAAAGATTACAAACATCGAGTGAAGATAAATTTATATGAACCCCACAAGAATGATGAGAATCTTAGATCATTAGTTCCAATTGATATTGTGCCCGAGTTATGGGCTGAATTAGTACAGTATTGGGCGAGTGATGTAGCTAAGGTACGAGAATGAATTTATATCATTGCTTATATGTGAAAATATTGACTTTGAATAATGTTTTATTATTGTTATAAGAAATAGCAGATCGAAATTCAAAGAATAGAGAACTACAAGACCCGATTCATAGGTGTGGGCAAACACATTTCACCGAGTTACATAGAGAGGTAAGTGATTATCAAAATTATATATTTTGATATGTATTTTTGTGTTTACATTTGATGATGAACCCGAATTTTGATATTTGTAAAGGTTTGCAGATGGAACAAAACAGAGAGAGCTTTGATAAAAATGAGCATATACATTAAATCACGCACTAAGAATGATGTTTCATGCGACCATGACGTGGCGCTAGTCATTGTATCACATTCTTATACTTTATTTTTTGAGTTTTTAATAATTTTTTTAACGTTTTAAATCTATAATTATTGACTATCTCAAATTATAGGCTGAATTTGATGTGCAATTTTCTCAATATGATGAGTCAGATCGTACACCAGCTCTTCGAGATCAAATTTTCCACAAATTGTTCGGAGAAGATGGACATGGATACTGTAAGACCTATGGTACTGATGTGCCTCGAAGTTTAGTGTACCAAAAAGACAAATGCTCATCTGATGCACCAAATCCTGCTTTCATTGAGAAAATATGTCATACTGTGTGTGAAAAATTAGAGCTGAAAATTAAAGCTGAATTTGACAAGGTTCATGCAAGGATTGGTGTGTTGGAATCACAAGCCGATAATGTAGGTGGATCTAAGGTTAATGCCAATTAGGTGGTGTATAAAAAATGTTATATTTATATTTAACCAACTTTAAACTCTATGTATGCAATATTTTAATATGTGGTATAACGTGTCTTATAGGTTCCAGACACATCTAGTGCACATCAACTGTTAAGGGGGTCGGACGAAGATATACCTCCACGGTCAATTGAGAAGTTGTCCATACCATCTTCATCTCCCTTGCCTTTGGATGAGGTGAAATGTATTTGAATTTTTAATATTTGACATTTGATTAATTTGTTAGGTTTGAGTGTATTATTAAAGGTATGAATAATAATTTTAACTTTGAGTGTGTAGTAAATGGCTTCATTAATGGATGAAGGGTGTGTAAAGTTTTAACTTTGGGTTAAAGGACTAAGTTGTTTTTTGTGGGAATTGAAATAAGCGAGTTTGTGAGCAATTGTGAATGCACTTTATATGATGTTGTTTGTATCATTCTTCCCAATGCATTTCACAAGGTCCTGCTAGTAAAAGAGTTATCTAATATTGTGAAAATGTTATACAGATGCACACTACTAAAAATAACAAAGAAAAGAAGGTTCTTGAAGAAGTTAGTCTGTATGTATATTTATTTTGTATACCACATATCATCTTTCAATTGTTATGAACAACCATGCATTAGACATTTTAAATAACGATTGTTACTTTGATTGCATTGTGCATATTATTGTAGGTTGGAACCAAAGTAGGTTTGTTAAGTTCCAAAGTGCATATTAGCTAGGAGTGCATATTATTAAACGGTTACGTGTCGAGTTAAACAGGTGACAGGTGAAAAACATATAAACTCATACACGATCTATTTAATAAATGAGTGAAAAACTTCAACACGAACACGAACACGAACCGTTTAATAAACAGGGAACACGACACGACTTGTTTAACCCGTTTAGTTTTAATTTGTTATTATATTTTTTGTGACTATCACTAAATTAAAAAAAATTCTGTGACTATCACAAAAAATAATATATATTTATTCTGTGGCTGTCATTAAAAAAAATCTGCCTAATTTTTTAATTTTTTTATTAATTTATTATTATATTAATTTTATTTAAACGGTTTGACAAAAGTCACTCGAACAAGACCCGTTTATTAAATGTGTTAGACGGGTCAACCTGTTTACCACCCAAATCCGTTAAGGTCTCATCCAAACTCGCTTAATTCTTGTCGATTAATCGTGTTATGTCAGACTTAGACAGACCTAATATTAGCAGAGGGAATTCTTGTTAGTATGATCCCATTGGCCGAAGTGAACAGAATACGCTTGAGGTCAAATTTTTGGAAAATATTTGTTGCAAAGGCAATTGAGAGTAGTGCAAGTTTGACAAGACCTTATCAAGGAGTCAAAACAATTGGGAATGCTATTCAATGAAATGTTGCTTGGCCATCTATTGATGTATGTTCAACTTTTTTTAATTCTTTAACACATATATCCATGTTTTTTTTTTTCTATGTTGTAGTGGTATTATAATAACAAAAGTTTTATTTGTTTTTTCAGGTACTATTAAAATGGTAGGTGATTTACAAAATAGTTATGGAAGACCTTAGGATTTTTTTTTTTTTACATTTTTATTATACGCTTATGTGGATACAACATTGAACCTTTTGTTTTAATTTTATATTTTTTTTATCTGTAATTGAGGAATTAACATTATACTTGATAGATTTTAAACTATTTTGTCTAATTAATGATTTTTTTATGTATATATATGAACATATTTTGACTTGGTGTTTAGATTTATATAGGAATGGAATTGTATGTGAAATTATTTGACCGTGATAAGTTTTTTTTGGCTTGTGTGATGTATTTGTATATACAGGGTAGAAATTAATAATATAAAAAAAATTTAAAAAATTGGCATTATTTTTGTGGCGGTATTGTTGCTGTCACAATTGTATTTTGTCAACAAACATATAACATTTGCGACGACAAAGTTTTTGTCAAAAATGCAATGCAAAATTGCGGCACCATTATTTGCTTCAAACAATTTCTGCCACTAAAGTTTTTTGTGACGGCATAATGCCGCCTCAAATATTTTTTTTGTGGCACTGCCTATTGCGGCTATTAAATGCCGCCACAAAGACGACAAATATACTTTTTGCAGCAGCAGCCTTTCGTCGTCTCAAAAAGTATATTTTCTTGTAGTGGCACTAACACTAGGTGCGGCAATTGGCTGCTGGCGTTGGGTGCCTGGTTGTGGCTGTTGGGTGCCTGGCTGTAGCCGTTGAAAATCAACTAAAACTTAGTTGTTTTTCTTCTCCTAAACATTCATAATATCATGTGTAATTTTTTTCAAGTTTCCCATGTTGACAACCTTCAAGAGGCTCCCTCACATCACCATAAGTATATTTGATCTCCTCACTACGTTCATTATTTTCTAATTTAATTTTCTGATCCAACAAAGTATTTTAAAACTCTACACGAACTATATTTTGATATGAGACTTGAGTCACGGAAGAACCATTATAATCTAAAAAAGTTTGTCTCACAAATTTATATGCACCATACTTGTATCCTTCATCCTTATTATAATATGAAGGTGCAAATCTTTCTTTTAACATGCGTTTTATCTTTTTTCAAGAACAAACTTTAGATTTCTGTTGACTTTCACGGGATAATTTTACGTGTTCCCACCACTGATAAGTCATGCCCTTCAATTTGTATGCTACTAAACCTACTTTTATCTCTTTAGGAATTTTATGATAATGAAAGAATTGCTCAACTTTGGCCAATCAATTAAAAAATCTTCTTTATGAATGTAACTATCAAAACTTGGTAACTTTCATAAATAAATTATTAGAATCATAATCATGTCTTCAATGATACCTGGCATAAATCATAGTTATCAAACATTCCTGTACCATACTCATCATCATCAACAAAACTAGAATCATATATACATTGTCATTTATGGAGGACATGATTGAGATCTCGAATAGGTTGAACACGAGCCTCATCGTTGTTGCAAACCCTATTCCAATCTGGATCTTGGTTCTTTCCAAACGTCGATCAAGCAATTGGATCATGGAACTCATGACAGGCTTGTTGGGACGAATGTCGAGAACTAAAGAAGTTGGCTCATGGAAGAGCCCTTTCCACATAATCCTAGATACGAGGAAAGTTATCACCACTTCGTAGAGTAGAAATAATGTCAGGTTAGTTAAGATTTTAATACCAATTGACGCAGCAGAACAAAAAAATATGAAGAACACTGTGATTCTAAGTGTGTAGGACAAAATTACTCTGAATCCATCGAGAAAGTAAGAAGAGAATAACTTTGAAAAATATATCTTATTTAATAAAATTGCATAGAATCGTAATACATATGACATTTTACTGGAAAAACTAAATTCTAAATTTTTCAGAAATGGAAACAAATCCTAATCTTAGAAAAATTTATAAAAACAAATAAACACATGTTTAATTAATTAAGAAAATTAACATGATTTAGGCAACAAATAACTCTAGAATATTTCTAATTAAAATTTCACCCTAACAAACTAATAAAAATAGAAGACAAAAATAAAATATGAAAAATAGTCATTCTTGTTCTACATCACTATGTAATTAATTTTTACTATGGCTATGGATAGTCAATTTTTGGGATGTTCCTACGGGAATAAGTAATGGTACTTGTATTTTTTTTTTTTCTAATTTCTTTGTTTTGTGTGCATTGATAAAATGTGTGTGAATAGGAGTATTGAATATTCTTGTGGATTTTAGAGGACAGTGAATGATTTTTGGGTATGAATTTCCATAACAAGTATTATACCAAACATATTGCAAAAACCGTTAACAAATGAAGTCATGGAATGGATGGTATTAGGGGTAAACATGTATATTTGCTATATAAAATGTGATAGAGTAAATGGTTTTTTGTGAAGCCCATCATAATACATATTGGTCAAACAAACATGAGATGAAATTGCATTATTTTTTATTTTAAGGCATACAATTTTCAATTCCATGCATAGCGATCCCCTAAACAAAGACACCCATATAGTGCTCGAATTGAATTGGAGTGTAAACGAAAGATTTTATAATTTGAGTTCAACAAAAAATAACATCTTAGCACATCCAACCTTAGTCACATAATTTGGCTAAACCACCCGTGCTTCGGCGTTCTATGAGTGAGTTCGCACTTTGAGAGCATATTCTTTGTAAATTCATGCTCTTATTTTACCAAATTCACAAATTTTTAGTTTGTCAATTCATAAATTCACCCCTCACTTGTGCCTGTACTTACTCATTATTATTCAAATTCTTATTTGGTAGGTGCAAGACCATGCATATGGATATGTATTAAACTATAATAATATTTATAATTTACGAATGCCATTTTGGGACCTTATAACTAACACATATTTAATAATAAAATAGTTTATCACAGAGTTACATGTGGAGATTAATATTTCAAATTATATTTTATAATTTTTGTGAGTAGGTATATGTCTATATGCATAATTTAACGCTCTCAAAACACTCTCATTCTCCCTTATAAGTTGTAATTTGACTTTTAAAAATTATAACTTAACCTTGAAAGTTGTAACTTTCAATATCAATCCCAATTTTCTATGATCAATCATATCATTTATAAGTTATAATTTACACTTCATAAAAATTATAACTTAATTTTAAAAATTTATTCTCGGAGACTTGACACTAAATTATCACCAATTCCAGACATGACTAGACATTAGTATACCTTTAGTACGACCAAAACTCAGTCTATACTCCAACAACTCTCTCTCTCTCTCTCTCTCTCTCTCTGTAAGTGCCAACTACTCTCCCTTTATATATGTTTACGTATCAGTCTAGGAAACCCACTCCGATAATCATCGTTAATTTTTATTTATTTGTCATTTTTTAAGAGTCGTAGGTACAATCAGATAATAAAAAAAATCTTAACTTGAGAGATTGTCTGACAATGATGCAACGACTATAGGTCTTTCTCTCTCTTTTTTTTTTAAAAAATAAATGGTGAAATTTGTTT